TACTGTTGGTTTATGCGCAATAGTCTAGGTGTCCAATCCGACGCACAGAAACATAAGAAGACATCCAGCAGCCGTTTACCGCACCATCCGAATATTGTCCCACTGATGGCCCATCATGTTTCGATGGGCTTCTTATTGTTTTCAGATGATTGATGAGAATTAAGCTTCCAGAACATTCACAGCTAAACTGTTCAATCAGTACACAGTTTGGACACTTTACTACCTGTGCAGGTCAGTCACATTTCCGTTTCTAATTTTCATATAGAAAAAATGCAGCCAATTGATTACGACTTTCCATATTGGTGCCGATCACTAATAATACTTCTCTAATCTATGGAGAGATATTCAGTATGTTGCTGACGCGTTGCGGCGGTGCTTCGGTTTAGGGGCAAGTTTATCCTACTACCTTTCTTTAATTAAGATGTGGAAAGGTAATAGGATGAAGTTGCCCCTAAACCGAAGCACCGCCGCAACGCCTTATATTGCAGCAGAAGCTAACTCCACAGTAGGCAACTCTTTCCAAGTGCACGCCCGCCCGCATGTGAGCGATCATCATGATCTGACTCTGTATCTGTGAGCATTGCGTCTCAACTCTATGTCTATGTCTATGTCTAGTAACTCTTAGAAAAAAAGGATTCCAAAAGTGTTCTTTGGCTGCCCTCATAGGATAACCATTTGAAGAACCCTTTTTGGTTCAAGGTATAATTATTTTTGGAACCCAAAGGTGTTTTTTACCTGGAACCAAAAGGTTTCTACCTGGAACCGAAAATGGTCCTTCAACTGGTTCTCCTATGGGCACAGCCAAAGAACCAATTAAGGTTCTAGATAGCACTTTTTTTTCTAAGAGTGTATGTGCTGCACATAATGCCTTCTAGACATGAAGATGAGCCTCTGCCTTGCAGGTCTCCCGGAGGTCACCTCTGAGGCGGGCTGAAATTTGACGTTCTAGAGTTCACCTGCTGTGAAGGAGTATGGCATAAAGGGGCGGGGCTGTCCTGCTATGGAAACAGGGCCTTCAACCTCACCCAGGCTTCCTGTTGTGAAGGTGAGATAAACAGTCTCACGTAGGTGTTCCTTTATTCCAGGTGGGAAAGGGCAGTGTGGAGTGCAATAGAGATTGCATCATCTGTGGATCTGTTGGGGCGGTATGCAAATTGAAGTGGGTCTAGGGTTTCTGGGATGATGGTGTTGATGTGAGCCATGACAGCCTTTCAAAGCACTTCATCGCTACAGACGTGAGTGCTACAGGCCTGTAGTCATTTAGACAGGTTACCTTAGTGTTCTTGGATACAGGGATTATAGTGGTCTACTTGAAACATGTTGGTATTACAGACTCAGTCAAGGACAGGTTGAAAATGTCAGAGAAGACACTTGCCAGTTGGTCAGCGCATGCTCGGAGTACACGTCCTGGTAATCCGTCTGGCCCTGCGGCCTTGTGAATGTTGACCTGTTTAAAGGTCTTACTCACATTGGCTACAGAGAGCGTGATCGCACAGTCGTCCGGAAAAGCTGATGCTCTCATGTATGCTTCAGTGTTGCTTGCCTCGAAGTGATCAATGAAGTAATTTAGCTTGTCTGGTAGGCTCGTGTCACTGGGCAGCTCGCGGCTGTGCTTCCCTTTGTAGTCTGTAATAGTTTGCATGCCCTGCCACATCCGATGAGCGTCGGAGCCGGTGTAGTATGATACAATCTTAGTCCTGTATTGACGCTTTGCCTGTTTGATGGTACGTCGGAAGGCATAGCGGGATTTCTTATAAGTGTCTGGTTTAGAGTCCCGCTCCTTGAAAGCGGCAGCTCTACCTTTAGCTCAGTGCGGATGTTGCCTGTAATCCATGGCTTCTGGTTGGGGTATGTACGTACGGTCACTGTGGGGACGACGTCATCGATGCACTTATTGATGAAGCCAGTGACTGATGTGGTGTACTCCTCAATGCTATCTGTAGAATCCCGGAACATATTCCAGTCTGTGCTAGCAAAACAGTCCTGTAGCTTATCATCTGTGTCATCTGACCACTTCTATATTGACCGAGTCACTGGTACTTCCTGCTTTAGTTTTTGCTTGGTCAGATTTGCCAAACGGAGGTTGAGGGAGAGCTTTGTACGCGTCTCTGTGTGTGGAGTGAAGATGATCTAGAGTTTTTTCCCCTCTGGTTGCACATTTAACATGCTGGTAGAAATTAGGTAAAACAGATTTAAGTTTCCCTGTATTAAAGTCCCCGGCCACTAGGAGCGCCGCCTCTGGATTAGTGTTTTCCTGTTTCCTTATGGCCTTGGTTGCGGTCTTACTGCGGTCTTACTGCCAGCATCAGTTTGTGGTGGTAAATAGACAGCTATGAAAAATATAGATGAAAACTCTCTAGGTAAATAGTGTGGTCTACAGCTTATCATGAGATACTCTACCTCAGGCGAGCAAAACCTAGAGAATTCCTTAATATTAGATTTTGTGCACCAGCTGTTGTTTACAAATATACACAGACTGCCACCCCTTGTCTTACCGGAGGCCGCTGTTCTATCTTGCAGATGCAGCGTAAACCCCGCCAGCTGTATGTTATCCATGTCGTTGTTCAACCGCGACTCAGTGAAACATAAGATATTTCAGTTTTTTATGTCCCGTTGGTAGGATATTCATGATCGTAGCTCGTCTATTTTGTTATTCAATGATCATACGTTGGCTAATAGGACTGATGGTAGAGGCAGATTACCCACTCGCCGTCGGATCCTTACAAGGCACCCTGACCTACGTCCCCGATATCTCTGTCTCTTTCTCCTGCGAATGAAGGGGATTTGGGCCTTGTCGGGTGTCTGAAGTAAATCCTTCGCGTACGACTCGTTAAAGAAAAAAACTTTGTCCAGTACGAGGTGAGTAATTGCTGTCCTGATATCCAGAAGCTCTTTTCGGTCACAAGAGACGGTGGCAGAAATATTATGTACGGCCTCCTGAGTGGCGCGGTGGTCTAAGCTGTGCCACTAGAGATCCTGGTTCGAGTCCAGGCTCTGTCGCAGCCGACCGCGACCGGCAGACCCATGGGGCGGCGCACAATAGTCCCAGTGTCGTCCAGGGTAGGGGAGGGTTTGGCCGGCAGGGATGTTCTTGTCCCATCGCGCACTAGCGACTCCTGACTCGGTCGCCAGGTGTACAGTGTTTCCTCCGACACATTGGTGCGGCTGGTTTCCGGGTTAAGCGGGCACTGTGTCAAGAAGCAGTGCGGCTCGTTTGGGTTGTGTTTTGGAGGACGCACTACTCTCGACCTTCGCCTCTCCCGTGTCCGTACGGGAGTTGCAGCGATGGGACAAGACTGTAACTACCACTTGGATACCACGAAATTGGGGAGAAAAAGGGGGTAAAATACCAACAAAAAAAAACATGATGTACAAAATAAGTTACAAATAACGCGAAAAAACACACACAATAGCGCAATTGGTTAGGAGCCCGTAAAACGGCAGCCATTTCCTCCGGCGCCATTATGTATTATTTGTACATGTTTAATATGGTCAAAATAACTAAAAGTGGTGATGTAAGACAAGGCTGACACTATACTTTTCCACAGACCCATTTCAGTCCACTCAGAATGTTTAGACAGGGCCCCAGTGGGAAGTGGGTGTCCTATACTCATTGCCAATGTTCTAGAGTGCTGCCTGTCTATCAGGGAGAAAATATGCCCCATGATTTGCCAGTAACAATGACTCTTTATAGTTTGCTTTACTTGGGCTAAATGCTGTACTATGTCAGTTTTGGCTGCACAGTTAGTTTTGTAAGCCCCACCCCGCAACCAATTAGAGTAAAGCGGCTTTTCTTTTGTGTGAGAGTGTGTCAGACGACGGATAACGAGAGCTCTCTTTGGGTCTTTTTTCTATCGCTTGGCACTCTGTCGGTAGAGGATGTGTGCACAGGTTCCCTGGTAAGAAAGTTTGACTCTCTTTTCTAGCATGTAGACTTTTGTGATTGTGTGTGAATTTTGGGTATGTGCATGGTACAGTGTGTGTGCATGAAGCTGTCAGTATTCATGTCTGTATGTGTGTCTGTTATTCATGTTGGGTGTGTGTTGATACCCTGCTGACTGGTGTGTCTCTCTCCCAGTGCTAAGGTACAACTCCTTATGGTGTAGTGGACCGAGGGGTGCTCTGCTGTAACCAGACCTTGCACTGTGGGGTGGAGGAAGGGAACACCTGTGCTCCCCAGGTGGCCACTTGTATCTGCCATCCCGTGAAATGGTGTATGGGTCACCCGTTCATCTCAACGATCCAGGCAAACACTGCTGGGGAGAGGAGACATACGACCCTCAGAATGAAATCTGCTGCAATGGACACAAGTGAGTTGCTCTGTAGGGTGGAAACTGTAGGTAGTTGAACCAAGCCAGGTAGTTTATCCCAAAGATGTGGGGTTATCACTGTCTCCAAGCACAGTTCAGAGTGCCAAAGGGCTAACAATTAGATCACTTAATCTTCAGCAGAATGTATCCAGCCTCCCTGTCTAGTGCTGATACAATGTCTTGAAATGTGTGTTTGTGTGTGCTATAACTAACTGTGGAAAGTATTTTCCCACTGTCTGAGACTGGGTGTGCATCTTTGTGTCTGAGAGACATGGATGGATGCAATTGTGATAAAAAAGAACATTCCCACTATGTCAGTCATTGAAGAATTCTGTGGGCGGCCACTGCTTAATGGAATGCACCATGTCATACAGACTACTGCTTTCCAGACATCTTTCAACAGGGCGTCTACCGCTGCAGCCAATGGTCTAAGGGTCTCTGCCCATTCTGTACTTCACTTCCCTTTTTCCAGTCAGAGGCATTCAGACAGTTAGACAGCCAGACATCTCCTAAGAGAGGTGGTATGTCTGCTTTGGGTTCTCTAGGAGGAGGCCAGACACCTCTTTGGGTTTGGGGGTGGGTAGTTGTTTTTGTCTACCTAGCCCTGTTGTGTGACTTGTGCTTGACCTCAGTATCTGAATCTAGGAGGAAGCTGGTTGATTCTTGTTTGTGATTTGAAGAATGTTACTAATGCATGTTCCAGGTAAATATTGTTCATTATTGACTGAAGTCTGTTTATTAGGAATACAGAAAAATATACCATGTCTGAGGGCATACCTGACACAGGCGGGAAGGACTTATGTTTTGACTCTGTACAGTGGTTTCACACGCTGATCTAAAGTCTATGTGGAAACACATCATTAACAAACAATGCTCCAATGTTAAAGTCTCTAACCCTGTCAATCAAACTGTGGGTTGCGACCCGTAGTGCGATCCCCAGGAAGTTGCAGGCAGTCTGAATTTATACAGATGCCATTACTCAATACTTAGGCCATGAAACAAGCGGGATGTCTGTGAGAATAGTGCAGTTGTGAGTGACACACTTGAATTTACTTTCATTTTGACTCTGTGGCTGAATGTAGTGGCGGTCGGTGCCGTTTAAGATTATGGTGGATGAGTTTTACTTTTATGAGCCTTATTTCTATGACAGCATATTGGATGAGTGTCATTCATATTGCATTCACCCAGCTCAATGTAACATCAATAGGTTTAGGCTACTACATGATACTGAAATTTGCCCTATAACCATTATTGCTAAAACCTAGCCTACAAATAAACGTTTATAACGTAGGGGCACAGGTTGAGAGACAAATTGGAGTAATCAAGGTGACAGACAGTGACACAATCAATACTGCCTTGCACACTATTGCCTCCATTTACCTGATCTTGGGTATAATCATTAATGCAAACAGTTGCAAAACATTCAGTTTAAATGTGGAACATGAATTGTATAATTCAAATTACATTTAAATGTGGAACATGAATTGTATCATTCAAGTTATGAGTGTGTCCTGAAGTTGATGGGTTTATCGATCCCCTCGCCACTCTTGAAGTCAACTTCTTAGTTTCAGGTATCGTAGTAAGATTGTGTATTGTCTTTAACCATTTGACATGTCTGAACATACAGGTGTGATCATTCTACAGTGGTCCCTGCAGCTTACACTCAAACCGGTGTGATTAGAACACTTATTTAGAACATCCAGTGACGATTGACGCAACAGTCAGCGTTTGAGCTGGCCACACTGTTTTTTCACAGAAACATTTTGCACCAACAGTCTTTACAACGTTATGTCCTCAATGTTTATTTTTGGATGCAATGTTCAGACATTCACAGAAGTAGCTACAGCATAACACAATCATCCAAACCGGAAAATGTAGGCTACATTAGTCCTAGTGCTAACTGAGGAAAGAGTGACCTAACACAAGCGGTCATATTTAGCTAACTCTTGGCTGACAGAAACCATAATATGAATTATCTAATAGCAATTACTATTTACAATTCATCACATCACGGGTGAGCTCACCAGTGATCGACATAATTGAGTAAAACACTTTATATAATTACAAAAGCATGTGGTCACCCCTTCAAATTAATAGATTTGGCTATTTCAGCCACACCCTTTGCTGACAGGTGTATAAAATTGAGCACACCGCCATGCAATCTCCATAGACAAACATTGGCAGTAGAATGGCCATACTGAAGAGCTCAGTGACTTTCAACGTCGCACAGTCATGAGATACCACCATTCCAACAAGTCATTTAATCAAATTTCTGCCCTGCTAGAGCTTCCCCAGTCAACTGTAAGTGCTGCTATTGTGAAGTGGAAATGTCTAGGAGCAACAACGGCTCAGCCGCGAAGCGGTAGGCCACACAACCTCACAGAACTACAGAGTTCCAAACCAACTTCATGAATTGTGTTTCCATGGCCGAGCAGCCGCACACAAGCCTAAGATCACCATGCGCAATGCCAAGCGTCGGCTGGAGTGGTGTAAAGCTTGCAGCCATTGGACTCTGGAGCAGTGGAAACGCGTTCTCTGGAGTGATGAATCACGCTTCACCATCTGTCAGTCCGATGGACTAATCTGGGTTTGGCGGATGCCAGGAGAACACTACCTGCCCCAATGCATAGTGCCAACTGTAAAGTTTGGTGGAGGTGGAATAATGGTCTGGGGCTGTTTTCATGGTTTGGGCTAGGCCCCTTTGTGCCAGTGATGGGAAATCTTAACGCTACAGCATACAATGACATTCTAGACGATTCTGTGCTTCCAACTTTGTGGCAACAGTTTGGGGAAGGTGTTTCCTGTTTCAGCATGACAATGCCCCATGCACAAAGCGAGGTCCAGACAGAAATGGTTTGTCGAGATCAGTGTGGAAGAACTTGAATGGCCTGCACAGAGCCCTAACCTCAACCTCAATACCTTTGGGATTAATTGGAACGCCGACTGCGAGCCAGGCCTAATCGCCAAACATCAGTGCCCGACCTCACTAATGCTCTTGTGGCTGAATGGAAGCAAGTCCCCGCAGCAATGTTCCAACATCAAGTGGAAAGCCTTCCCAGAAGAGTGGAGGCTGTTATAGCAGCAAAGGGGGGTCCAACTACATATTAATGCCCATGATTTTGGAATGAGTACCGGGGCTGAGGTGAACAGACTATGCAGATTATGCTTGTAGGCAAAGACATTAGTACCATGATCAACATAGTTTTACACATTAACTTTTATGTTTGATGATTAAATACAATCACACAACCCTGAAATTCTTAGACCTCTGACTCCAACAACTGCATCCACTGTTGATTGGAATAGTGTGATTTCTGAGATAAAGTTTCAATATATTATCAAAATGACCTGACATAATAACAGAGATCATGTCTGAAATGTGATTTATCTCGCAGATTAGACTCTCTCTCTCTCTCCCTCTCTCTCTCCTCTCTCTCTCTCCTCTCTCTCTCTCTCTCTCTCTCTCTCTCCTCTCTCTCTCTCTCTCTCTCTCTCTCCTCTCTCTCTCCTCTCTCTCTCTCTCTCTCTCTCTCTCTCTCTCCCTCTCTCCTCTCTCTCTCCTCTCTCTCTCTCTCTCTCTGTTTTCCTCTCGGACAGGTTTTGGGATGACGGCCCCATCCACAACAGAGGACAAAGTCCTCCTGGTAATCTACAGCCTGCTGGGCTGCTCTGCCACCACCCTCTTCTTTAACCGCTTCCTGGAGAGGGTCATCACCATGTTGGGCTTCCTTATGCGATGGTGTCACCGGAGGAGAACACACAACATCACACAGGGGGCAACAGCAACCAACACAATGGTGTAGGAGAGAAAAGAGACATGGAGGTTGGGAAAGAGGGATGGAAGCCCTCACTCTAATACTGTTTGCTGCTGCCCTTGTGTTGGCGTGTGGTGCTTATACTCTCTACTCAGCCATGGAGGGCTGGAGCTGCATCAAGTCCCTGTACTTCTGCTTCGTGGCCTTCAGTACGGTGGGTTTCAGGGGACCTGGTTAGCAGCCAGGAAGAGTCCTACGGAGGAGCCCCCTGTGGAGCCTACCAGGTGGCTAACTGCCTCGTCATGCTCCTGGGGGTATGCTGTACCTACTCCCTCTTCAATGCCTTCTCTGTCAACATCAAACAGGGGCTGAACTGGATCCTGAGTCAGCTGATCCATCTACGTAGCTGCCTGTGCCACGGCAGACCTCTACGATGCCCACTGTTGCCCATGTTCTTGCCAAACCCTATGCCACAGGAACATGGACTTGAGCACCACCAAAGCCAGAGAAATGGGGCAACACGGATACAGGCTTCCCGGAGGGGATGTCATACATGTCGGACCACCATGACTGGTACGACAGCTCCTGACTGAAGAGACACTCGGTACAAAATATCTGGCATGATTTACTTAAGCAATAAGGCACGAGGGGGTGTGGTATATAGCCAATTGGCTAAGGGCTGTTCTTAAACACGACACAACGCGGAGTGCCTGGATACAGCCCTTAGCCGTGGTATATTGGCCATATATCACAAACCCCTGAGGTGCCTTATTGCTATTATCAACTGGTTACCAACTAAATTAGAGCAATAAAATGTTTTGTCATACCCGTGGTATACGGTCTGATATACCACGGCTGTCAGCCAATCAGCATTCAGGGCTCGAACCACCCAGTTTATAACTGCATATAGACAACACTGATGATTGAAGGTTTCATTTTTTATAATTGCGTTACTTGGAACCTTTTTTTCAACAACAAAAAAAATGTACTCAATGTATCATGAAACCAGTTTTACTCTCCCCATAAAGTGCATTAGGCCTGTGATGATGGTTGTAGGACAGTAAGTAGAGTTTACCATGTACACTTGTTTGTGGTTTCATGATGCAATTCGTCTCCACAAGAGGGAGCACATGGATAAGGCTATGTGGATTTTATTTTGGTGGACTCATCCAACTTTTTCCAACTGTTGTCCTGACTTTTTTTGTGTGCAAATAAATGAAAGACAGAAAATACAAAACATTCCCTCTGACATTTCCTCCTCCTTGCCTCTCAATAACTGGTCCAGGGTCTGTTATGTCGATGACTATGATACAGATCCACAAACAGAAAAGTGTTAGGTCTGACTAAATATTGCAATATGGTACACAAAGGCAATTAAGAATTATTGATATATCTCTACTTTTATGTACACAAAGGAGCAGTTATTATATACCCATGGTTCCATTTAAATGCCATAAATATCTACAAAGTGTGGGAGGGTTGTTTTCCTTATCATATAGACCTACACGATGTCATACTACTAGACTAGGCTACTGCAACGGTTTACATTACATTTTAGTCATTTAGCAGACGCTCCTATCCAGAGCGACTTACAGTTAGTGAGTGCATACATTTTTATTTATTTTTCATATTGGAATCGAACCCACAACCCTGGCGTTGCAAATGCCATGCTCTACCAACTGAGCTACATCCCTTTTGACCAATTAGTCATATTTGAAATCCGCATGTTCAAAACCTATAATAGCACACAGCGAACGATTTATAGAACATTAGTATAAAAAAAACTAATGTTTTGCAATGGATACATCCAATTTGGCGCAATGCAGTTTACAACCAGCCAATTACAAAACCGGGTACTTTTCTACCCTTTTCTCTGGGCCAATAAGGATCTGCGTTACATTAGCCAAGTTGAAGCTCATCTCATTAGTGGTCATACTTGATCAAAAATAATAACTTTAAAATTGACAATGTATATCCATTTCAAATATTGGCTATTGTTCACCGCTAATAACAGGCGCGTCTGCTTCTCATCAATGCACGAGCACTGAACATAATCCTGCACTATCTCTGCGCGATTCGTGCAAATAGTACAATTACTTTCTTTTTTGATGAGTGACAGGGGACGTGCTGGGCAATTTCAGTGAGTGCAGTGGTCAATATAAGGTGAAAAAAAAATTATATTCTGACGCATTTGTGGTGTGCAGTTTTAAGATTGGCAGGTTCGTGGGGGGCGAAAGATGTCACTTCGCGGAGTGATATAGTTCAAATGAGGCCATATCGGCAGTGACGCGGTGCCTAGTGTTTCCGGGCAACTTCGCAGAGAAGGGACTGTATACCTCTAGCGAATTATTTTTCAGCACTAAACAACGATACATACGTTGGCTACAGTTACTTTGACAGCCACGAGGGGGACATTGACTATTTAGTCATTCATATTTTCCAAGTTCGAAGACAAAACATAATACAATGGTGAGTATAGCCACCGTTTTGCTAGCTAGCTTGCTACACTCATTCAACAACAGACAAAGCCAAGCATATGCTAGCTAGGTAACGTTACCTGACTGTCATATAAATTGGCTAGCTTGTCATGTAGCTAGCTAGTTCTCTAGCTAGCTAACATTAATTCGTATTGGGTTCGAGCAACGTCTATGTAGTTATAACTAGCTAGCTAAATAAGGTGTGACTGTGACATAGTTTGTCGTCTGGCAGCTCAGCTGTTGATATCACCACATGACCGGGCTGTTGGCTCGACGTTGCATTGCAATAGCCACCAACTGGCAGTTGGAAAAGCTCATAAGGACTCAGTGGATGACCGACAATAAGAAAATGCTTGATTGTGGGCACGAATGAGGCATGACTATCTGATAAACTTTAGCTATGGCTAATTTTACATACTGTTAGCTAGCTAAGGTCATTGGTTTCGCTCGGATCGGGGTTAGCTAGCTTACGTTAGGGTACTAATGGTGAGTGGGCGTGGTGGTAAGGCAGAAGCATAGCGCTGTTTGATGTAATAATAACCAAACACACTGCCAATTGAATTACCTTACTCGATAGTATTAGTTGGCTGGTTAGCTGCCATCTACATTTTTTTTTTCACCAGACACATTATCTATGTAGACTTGAGCCAGTTGATTTGTATTTTGCAATGAACAATGCCCAGATTGTACCGTGCCAAGGCAGCTGATAGTTTGTCCGCAACAAGCTAACTAACTTGTGTTCTGTCTTGTTTTCAATTACATAGTTAGCTGGCAATATGATCTAGCTAGTAATATGTTGTGTATGGTGTTGTTGCGCAAATTGAGTTGTCAATAGCCACGCGACATTTGACAGAGCCTTTCCTCATGTTACTGTTGCGTATTGCACCACCACGTTGATCCGCAGTCTGCTGTTCGTGAATGGTCTTCGTTGCCACCCCTCCTTCCTCGCCCCTCTCTACCACACGCATTCCTCCCCCCTGCATTGAACCACATCATGGTTGGTGCAGTATACTGACATGGGATCCGCAGTGCATGCTTTATAAAAATGGGAATAAGACTCTAAAAGACATTGTGTGACAAACGAAGGCTTGTCCTCATGTGCTCTGCTTTATTCCTCATAATTGCTGTTTTGGGGGACGGAAGTGAGGCCTTGGCACTAAGTCTGTATTATTTATGGTGGTTTGTTTTGCGCCAAAGGATAAGACACAATTGAAAATCAGAAGATCTTGCCATCTGCCCCAAAAAATGACTGCACCACTTTACCACCACAGTGAATACGATATTAACAGCCTTTAACCAGGACTGTACATAATGGCACATGGGATCTCAATACTGCTGAAAGGCAACACTGTTTTCGTGAGCCACTTGGTGCTTGACACCGCCTTGTAAATGCTCAAACCCAGGAGTGCACTAATGGAATCCTCCTGAACCACTGCTTGCTTCCTCAACCCTCTGTGTGGACAGAATACGCTGCAGTCTGCTTGCTGCCCTTTCCTCCCCCCTCTCCTCCTGATGACTCACTGAGATAGAGCACATGTCCTGGGCAAAATTATTTAACTGTGATGAACATGTGCAAAACACAGAATCATATGATGCAAAATGGGGATGATTTCTGTATTTTGAAAGTTACCTATCTTGAGTACTGACAAGCAAAACATTTTGAGACTTTGTCAACAATGGACTAATGAAACAAATTCAAAAATAGTTTTTGGGTGGAATTTTCCTTTAACTGTAATGAAGATGTGTCGATATAAGTCAGTGTCCCTTGCTTTTTGTTCCCTTGTTTTTTGGTGGGGTACGCACTTTCACAGGTGTGCACACTTTCACTCCCAAGCAATAAATGCTATACATATGATGGCGAGTCTGAAGACCCACAAAAAGCAACAGAGGTGGTAATAGTCAGTGTGCTACATTGGCGACCCTGTTCGTGCCGCTCTAATTATAGCAGGGGTACTGAGGTGTATTTATACCCATCCCTCATCACACTTCCTCAACCCAAAGTGTGCTGGTTGACTAACTCAGACAGATCTGATAAGACCTCGTCCTCAACTGATGGGAGGGAGAATGAGGCCTCAGAGACTCCGGGTGGAAATCGAGATGGCGCTGACAGACACGGTTGCCCTGTTTCTCACACCATTATTTATATAAATACACGCAGTGCATTCGGAAATTATTCAGACCCCTTGACTTTTCCCACATTTTGTTACGTTACAGCCTTATTCTAAAATGGATGAAATAAAAAATAAAACTCATTAATCTACACACAATACCTCATAATGACAAAGCGAAAACAGGTTTTTAGAAATGTTTAATAATTTATATATATATATATATATATATATATATATATATATATATAAAAAATACCTTATTAACAAAAGTATTAAGACCCTTTGCGATAAGACTCAAAATTGAGCTCAGGTGCATCCTGTTTCCATTGATCATCCTTGAGATGTTTCTACAACTTGATTGGAGTCCACCTGTGGTAAATTCAATTGATTGGACATGATTTGGAAAGGCACACACCTGTCTATATAAGGTCCCCCAGTTTACAGTGCATGTCAGAGCATGAGGTCGAAGGAATTGTCCGTAGAACTCCGAGACAGGATTGTGTCGAGGCACAGATCTGGAGAAGGGTACCAAAACATTTCTGCAGCACTGAAGGTCCCCAAGAACACCGTGGCCTCCACCATTCTTAAATGGAAGAAGTATAGAACCACCAAGACTCTTCCTAGAGCTGGCCGCCCGGCCAAACTGAGCAATCGGGGAGATCCTCTGTGGAGATGGGAGAATCTTCCAGAAGGACCACCATCTCTGCAGCACTCCACCAATCAGGTGTTTATGGTAGAGTGGCCAGACAGAAGGCACTCCTCAGTAAAAGGCACATGACAGCCCGCTTGGAGTTTGCCAAAAGGCACCTAAAGGACTCTTAGACCATGAGAAACAAGATTTTCTGTGCTGATGAAACCAAGATTTAACTCTTTGCCTGAATGCCAAGCGTCACGTCTGGAGGAAACCTGGCACCATCCCTTCGGTGAAGCATGTTGGTGGCAGCATCATGCTATGGGGATGTTTTCCAGTGCAGGGACTGGGAGAGTAGTCAGGATCGAGGGAAAGATGAATGGTGCAAAGTACAGAGAGATCCTTGATGAAAACCTGCTCCAGAGCGCACAGGACCTCAGACTGGGGTGAAGGTTCACCTTCCAACAGGACAATGACCCTAAGCACACAGCCAAGACAATGCAGGAGTGGCTTCGGGAGAGGTCTCTGAATGTCCTTGAGTGACCCACCCGGACTTGAACCCGATCGAAAATCTCTGGAGAGACCTGAAAATTGATGTGCAACAACTTGACAGAGCTTGAGAGGATTTGCAGAGAAGAATGGGAGAAACTCTCCAAATACAGGTCTGCCAAGCTTGTAGCGTCATACCCAAGAAGACTCAAGGCTGTAATCGCTTCCAAAGGTGCTTCAACACAGTACTGAGTAAAGGGTCTGAATACTTATGTAAATGTGATATTTCAGTTTTTTTTATTTTTTATATAAATTTGCAAAAATGTCTAAACCTGTTTTTGCCTTGTCATTATGGGGTATTGTGTGTAGATTGATGAGGGGAAAAAAACATTTAAATCAATTTTAGAATAAGGGTGTAATGTAACTAAATGTGGAAAAAGTCAATGGGTCTGAATACGTTACAAAAGCACTGTGTGTATATATATAATTACATACATACACACACACACACAAGTGCCTTGCAAAAGTATTAATCCCCCTTGGCGTTTTTCCAATTTTGTTGCATTACAACCTGTAATTTAAATTGATTTTTATTTGGATTTCATATAATGGACATACACAAAATAGTCAAAATTGGTGAAATGAATTGAAAAAAAATAACTTGTTTCACAAAATTCTAAAAAATAAATAACGGAAAAGTGTGCGTGCATATGTATTACTGCACTGTTGTAGCTAGAAACACAAGCATTTCACTGCACCTGCAAATCTGTGGATGAGACTAAGAAACTTGGATTTGATTTGAAATTGCCTGTAATAGATACAGATCTAATTAGCGGGAAACCGCTGACTGGACTGAGATGAGTGACCACGTTTACATGCGTACAGTATTCCGGATAGTAGGTCAGATCCTGCTTTATTAAGGTCTTATTTGGGATAAGCTGTTTACATGCACCTTTTGTGGTCCGGTACAGAATATAAGCAAAATACATTATTATGGTGGATCGAACTGCGCAGGTAGCCTACTTTTTTGAAGTGATTTGTTTGACAGTCAGATGAAAACATCACTCAGTACCCATGATATATGAAACTGAGCCTGCACAGATCGCGAAAAACAACAGTAAACGGGATAAGATGTTTTACATGCCACAGTATCCTGTCTAAGATCAGCATACCCCAGGCATCTTATCCGGGTTTCTCATAACCAGGATACAAGCTTTTTCGGGTTATTGGAAATCGTATATATGTTTATATGCGTCAACTAAAAAACAGAATACTTGAGTATCGGTGTGCATGTAAACGTGGTCAGTGTGTAGGAGCAAAGTTATCCTACTCCTGTGAGCGCTGAGGTTATAGGGGTGAGAGTATCACTGTCATGTCAACTCGTCTGATCTCATACGAATCCAATGGAGCAGGTATGGTTACACACAGGAGTAAAAGAGCAGCCATTAGGTGATTGTGGCTTAATTTACCTCAATTAGGCTACAATATGTTAGGGGCAGTGGACAACTCTCACTCTTGCTTCCTCTCGTCTTCACAGGCTGACCAACTGACCGAGGAGCAGATTGCTGGTGAGTACTACAGGTGCATCAAAGCTGGGACCGAGAGACTGAAAAACAGCTTCTATCTCAAGGCCATCAGACTGTTAAACAGCCATCACTAGCACAGAGAGGCTGCTGCCTACATACAGACTTGAAAATCACTGGCCACTTTAATAAATGGAACACTAGTCACTTTAATAATGGCACTTTAATGTTTACATATCTTGCATTACCCATCTCATATGTATATACTGGATTCTATACTATCTGTTGCATCTTAGACTATGCCACTCTGATAATGACATTGCTCATCGATTATATATTCTTATTCCATTCCTTAACTTAGATTTGTGTGTATTAGGTTTTTGTTGTGGATCTGTTAGATATTACTTGCTAGATATTGCTGCTCTGTCGGAACTAGAAGCACAAGCATGTCGCTACACTCGCAATAACATCTGCTAACCATGTATAAATGTGATTTTCTTTTTTACTATCCCTAACCCTGAACAGTGAGGTTCTGTCCAATCAAAGCTCTTGAATCCAATCCCAGTTAGTAGAAGTGACTGAGTTCCTGTCGGTTGGCAGATAATATGGGTGCTTAGACTCATGGCTCCTTATGGTAGCGACCAACATTTAGGCTAATCTGCCTGTTAGTTTGTACAACTGATGTTAATCTTGTACCAATCATTCTTAGTATTTGTAAGAGTTTTCTTCATCTGCACAGATCTAAAGAATTGGGTGAAATCAGTATGTTGAACGCATCCTGGGAATTTGCCCTTACCTGTCCAGTTCATATGAAGGAAAGGGGACAAGGACAGGAAGACTATTGACGTAGCCAATATAGGCATTTCCACGAATCCCACACTGTTCCCTGTTTGCTTAATCAGAGTTCAAGGAGGCCTTCTCACTGTTCGACAAGGATGGCGATGGCACCATCACCACCAAGGAGCTGGGCACTGTCATGCGCTCTCTGGGACAGAACCCTACTGAGGCAGAACTACAGGACATGATCAACGAGGTGGACGCTGATGGTAAAATTAGAGAGATGTGTACAATGACATTCACGCACGCACACGTATGGTCAGTACCCAACAAGGCTGACCCTTGTACTTTATTCACATGGTGGATGAATGGTGACACACACTGCATAATTACTGGGCCAACGCTCTTAACCGCTAGGCTACCATCTCACCTGGATGGCACCATGGCTCTGGTTTCATGCTGGATCACATTTCAAATATCTAATGTTTCTACCCACAACAGAGGGTCATCCATACATAGAGTTGGAGGACTCTAGATTGATAAAACCTGTTTTTGGCAAGGACATAGTCCTAAAACCGGAAATTAGTTACCTTTGGTTCGTTCAGCCATTCCTATGGGGAAAATGAATGGGGTTTTGGGATAAATGCCGATAATATGGTCTGAGGTTGACACGGGCTTAGGAGATCTTGTACAATTTGTTGTACAAGTTATCAGTCGTCAGTTAACATGACTGGAAAAAAGTATGAAGCCTGTATGTGCTTGTTTTGATTACATAAATGCTTCAAAATTCACAAAAACTGACGTTAGCTGATGAAGATTATCTCATAGAACAAAACGTATAAGATCTTCTAAGCCTGTGCTTACCACAGACCTTATTTGTGGCGTTTATCCCCTACAAAAACTCCATTAATTTCCCCCTAGGCTTTGGCCAACGAGCCATGGCGGAGTTAGTGCCTACAAAAATACGCCATTACTATTGCTCTCTATTGCCATTGAGGGCTTTCAACTTTTTTTTAAGTAGTCAACTGGTTGGGACTTCCTATGGGTCAAGGAGGGATCAGCCAATTAATTATACTCATGAGCAAACTTTCCAGAACTGTAGGTGGCAGTAAATCACCAACCTTGGCTATATATCTGTTCAAACAACACACTAGGTTGTAGTTTGCACCCTTTGTTTTCTGCCAACTCATAGACGTAGTAGAAGAAGAAAATTAACTACTTACAATTTGAGATTGCCTCTGGTGCTGCCTGTGCACTCACAGATGCAAAGATGATATCTCTTTGGGCTCATTCCAAAGTGTACCGACAAGAGTTCAAAACTGCTCATTCTGAAATAAAATAACCATCTGTGTGTGTGTGTGTGTACATAAATGTAAAATAAAGACTGTCTTGTTTGTCCTTAGGTAACGGGACGATTGACTTCCCAGAGTTCCTGACAATGATGGCGAGGAAGATGAAGGACACAGACAGCGAGGAGGAGATCAGAGAAGCCTTCAGAGTCTTTGATAAGGTACACACGCTCCACACCATCTCCTTTGATTTGTTGGAGTCAGTCAATTGGAAATGTGCTTAGTGTTTTGAAACATGAGCCATTTTGATTATCTGTTTAGATTTTTGTGCTTAGAGTTGTGAAAATGTACTGGAACAGTGCAATCCCTTTAAACAGAGACATGTGATTTTGGAAGTGTGTGTGTGTGTACACGTACATTTAGTGTGTGTATTGCGGTTGTTTGTTTGTACCCTCTGACGTATCGGTGTGAGTGGTGTGATTGTTTTTGTGGGACATTTGTGCCACTGTCCTAAAGAACCTTGGTTTCTGCTAGGGCACCAGTCTGTGTCAGCATCCCCCTGCTCTGTTTATCATTTCTCCCTTTGCGGCTCTTGAGTCTTGGCAGAGCTGGACCCAGAGATAACAGTGAGCAGACGGACCAGAGCCATGCATATCTCTGACTGTCACACAGATGGGGCAGCCAGAGACCATGTTCATGTGCCAGCAGACCAGATAAACCTGGGCTCTATTCAGAAGAGGGAGATGTCACTGATCGTTAAGATAGAAAAGTCTTGTTTAGACCTGATCTCATTCTGACAGGTTAAAGTATTGTATGTAGAACCTTCTCTCTTTCCCTATTGAATGAGCCTGTTCTCCCTGTAGGATGGGAACGGCTATATCAGCGCGGCAGAGCTGCGGCACGTCATGACCAACCTCGGGGAGAAGCTCACAGACGAGGAGGTGGACGAGATGATCCGCGAGGCCGATATTGACGGAGACGGACAGGTCAACTATGAGGGTGAGCTCAACGTCCTTCCTCTCTCCCACTCGTGTGTTTGCAGATATAAAGGAAATGTATAGGTGGAAACTCCCTTTAGTAAACCCATTGCAAGCCAAGGTGGAGCTATCACCGTATTTCTTTGACTTCTCTGATACCTTCCGATCTGCAAAAACCAGAGGGCTAAGTAAGAGCTAAATATTCTTAAAACCAGGCCTTCTTCTCTCTTCTCCACTTCCTCGTCCTCCTTTTTCCTCCCACCTCTGTCTTCCTGCTCCTCCTCTCATATCTACTGTGAGTTTACTGAAGTCAGTGTCTTTCCGCTGTTGCCCCTGTCAGTTATGCCTTATTTCTCTTTGCTTTGATACATGAAATACTCACTCACTCACAGCTTAATGAATCACTGCTCATTGAATTTAAAATAGTATTGAAGACATTGATTCCTCATGTTACTCTGTTTCAATAATCTTATTAGTATGCCTTGTGATGTAATCATTGTTAACAGAATGCTCTTTATTCTTGTGGATTTCTTCTAATTTCTTTCTCCCTGTTTTGTTCTGCCTTGCAGAGTTTGTGCAGATGATGACAGCCAAGTGAAGTAGACTGTGCTCTCACACATTTCTCTCTCTTACATTGCTTGTCCTCCGAAGATCACTCTGTCTTTAAGAAAACAAACCAATAATCAAGCCAAAATGGAAAACTCAAAAAATGATTTAATGTATAAAATTATGTAATAAAAAAAATCTAACTACTTCTAGGGTATCTGTTTTAAGAGCAACTGCAGATGAATCCCTAACAGAAGTTAATGGACGAAGCTTTAAGGCATGAGACCCTTACTCTAGAGTAAGATCCTTGGGAGGCTCCCAGATGCCGACTAAATTTGAGGAAAGGGCAACACGGACGAGGCAGAGGGATAGGATTCCATGCCAGAGATGGCTGTCTTTTCCTCATTGAGAGAAGCTTACTATTTCAAGTATTTTTCCACCCTGAAAACAATTAAGGCTAACGGCGCACTCACACAAATCGCAGTGCTAACATTGAATTGGGTAACGGCCTTCTTGCATGCACCCCTTCTGAGACAGTTTCATGTCACAACAAGGTGGTTTTGATCCCATCGGTGATTGTGGATAGTATACACACTGGAGGTATATACATAAATATATAGCTATACACTGAGTGTACAGAACATTAGGAACACCTTCCAAATATTGAGTTGCACCCCGCCTTTTGCCCTCAGAACAGCCTCAATTCGTCGGTGCGTGGACTCTACAAGGTGTCGAAAGCGTTCCTTAGGGATGCTGGCCCATGTTGACTCCAATGCTTCCCACAGTTGTGTCAAGTTGGCTAGATGTCCTTTGGGTGGTAGACCATTCTTGATACACACGGGAAACTGTTGAACTGTTGCAGTTGTTGACACACTCAAACTGGTGCGCCTGGCACCTACTACCATACCCTGTTCAAAGGCACTTAAATATTTTATTTTGCCCATTTACCCTCTGAATGGCACACATACACAATCCATGTCTCAAGGCTTAAAATTCCTTCTTTAACCAGTCTCCTCCCCTTTTAACAAGTTACATCAGTAAGGGATCATAGCTTTCACCTGGTCAGTCTATATCATGGAAAGAGCAGGTGTCCCTAATGTTTTGTACACTCGGTGTGTGTGTGTATATATATTTGTAAAATACTAACGGTTGGTGCAAGAATTACAGTGGAAAAGGTTGCATTGGTGCTAGGTTGAGGAGAGAATTCACCCATCCTTAAGGGGTTGTGGGGAGTTGATAGAAAAAGCACTGGTTCGTTGGTTTTAATTGTCTTTTCTATTGTTTGGGCAGGCTGTTGTCTTTCGTTCTCTTAACGAGGCTTTTAATTTCCCAGCACCACTGACCTATGGCATAGGAGTACATAGATGTACAGTTTCAAGACGGTAATTATGGTAGCACACTTTGAGAGCATTGCTGTAAAGATATTTTATCTGCTTACGTATATCCTGATACAAATATGAATGTTATGGTTTTTAAATGTATGCTATCAAACATTAATGTGTAAATTAATTAAACATTTTGGTCACACAAATATATATTAGTGTATCGTAAACTTTGCATGACCTATTGTTGATATAGTATGACCTGTGAAATGTTTGATCCTTGGTTTTGAAATGTGCCATAATACTCTAAAGCATCAACCTTCTTGCAAGAGCACTTAGTAAATTAGGACATATTATGAATATACAGTATAAACTATATACAGTACATACCTATTTGCACTTTGGTGTAAACCGTATATTTGAAAATGTTCTGTAAAAAAGACTGTTGCTGCTACTAGAACAACTCATTTGTCCCTTGCTCCTGTGGATTAGTTAGATCCTCATGTTGTCGTCAAGTGTTCACATCTTTTATCCGTGCTCCGCTTGCTGTTCTACTGAACAGAGTATATATTCACTAATATATTTATTTTTGTCAGTGAGTTGAAAAAATAAATCAGTTTAAAGGGTATAAATTATTGGTTTAAAAATGTATTATTTGGGTTTAAATGAAAGGAATGCTAGCAGAGGTACTGAATCGTTGCTGAAAAGACAGTTTTATTCCCCAAGTTATCTGGCTAGCTTTTACTGGTTGGTTGACTTTGATCTACAGGTTGGAAAAGACACATGGTTAAGGACTGTTAAACTTCTGGAGGTAGCATACAAATTTATAGATGTTAAATATTAATGTTTGCCATGAATAAATAAATGGACTGAACTTCACTGAGTGTCTCCTTGTCTTCCGTAAAACTTCATATACAATTTTTATTGATCACTGTGTAAAAAAATAAATAAAAAAAGCTAACTTTAGCATGTAGTTATTTGGCGTGTGGATGGAACTTCAACTCACTTTAGTTAGTTTGTGTATCCCTGGCTGCCAGTCTCTTTGCAGTCCTCATAATATCCTTTACAAGACACCCTCTGAGATTGGGTCAGAGGAAGTCACCCCGGCCTCCATAAGAGGAGCTATCCCTGGCTGCACCAGGCTATATTTGGTGGCTCATGGGATTGCCACAGGAGCCTCTGGTAATCCGGGTCAGTCCGGTTCATGACATCTCACCCCTGTAAATCCAAATGCCCCCAAGTCCAACCCACACATGCCTCTGCGGTGATGGGTAGGGACAGCCAATGAGATCAATCATATCTGTGGTCTGTTGGATGTGATTGGGTGTTGCCTAATAGATTTATCTTATGTTATAGGACAGTAAGTATCACAGGTACATTCATTAGGAACCTGAGGACCTCATTCAGCTGGAAGGCTATAACCCCTTTTACTGTACTTCAACTGCGTATGATTGATTGTCTAAATATATCGCGGTTGTATATAACACATGATCATGACTGGGCAAGGTGCCTGTGTAAGGGGAGTTAACTACAATTTATGTAAAGATATTACATTACTGCGCTAGTGTAAAAAATACAATAAAATCTGTGCTGATATTTAGGAGCAAACTTGTTCTTAAAGCTTGTTCAGGGAATTTACGGAGTACGAGGTATTGTGGTCTGTTGCATTAGTGCCTCCCCTACTGGTAGTAGAAGAGAATATCCTCTGTTCACATGATATGCTTACAACTACAGCAGATCTGAAGGAACCAAATAACTGACAGGCCGCTGGTTCGAACACACAAGCCGACGAGATGTAATAAACAAGAAAACATCTATTTTTTTTTACTGCCACTTAGTGTTTGCTCACGATTATAATTAATTGGCTGATCCCTCCTGATGACACAGATAGAATCATGTGATTCTTCCTTAACCCCTAGGAAGGCCCACCCAGTTGACTACTTTAAAATGGTGGCAGCCCTCAATGGCAATGTCCATGCTAAAGCGGTTTTTATCCATATAGAGTCCTCTATCTAACTCTGTATTGTCCTCACCTTTTCATAGTTGTGTGGAGGCCAAAATAGCCCTATGTGATGCTCTGCTCTGGGTGTAGTTTCACATATCCTCACTAGATGATGCTGTATCATTGTCTTGGAATCTGCTCAGAAGTCTTTGTCAGCTGATAGTTATAGAATGTGTAGACATTTAAAGCCCCCATGCAGTCTTTTTAATTGTATTTTTTAAATCATCACTGTGTGTTTATTGCATGAAAATAACTCAACATATATTTTTTATTTCCTTGAGCCTCCTTTTTCCATTGAAATGCTCAGTCGGATTGTGTGGGTGTGTTGATACGTATGTAAATATATTTACATACACAGCCCTGATTGGCGGATAGGATTTTCTAGAGTCTAGAACAGTCATACTCAAATGGCGGACCGTGGTCCGTGTCCGGACCCAGCAAAGGGCCAATATGGACCAAACAGTACCAAACGATATCGAAGTCAGTAAATTAATTTCAGACAACAACAGCCTGGGGCCGCGTCCTATCCAAACGTGCATTTATGCAAATTAGTCTCATGAAGAGAGGCGCGTCACATCCTATACGCAAATATCTTCGACAGTGAAAGACAGTGTTGGGACTGGGAGCAAGCTGCAGGCAGACACACAAGGAAATACGTCCATTGATAGACATTGTGAATGTGAGCATGGCTTGTTCAAAGAAAATAAAAGTTGATAGCAAAAATTGTATTTTCAAAGACGAGTGGACAGACAAGTACGCATTCATTCTTCCCCGCAACAAGTTCAAAACCAATGTGCCTGATATGCTCAGAGTCTGTAGCGCTTGTGAAAAGTGCCAATATGAAGCGCCACTATAACACAAAACACAGTCATTTCGAGCAAACGTATCCCCAAAACACAGAGGTGAGAACGACAAAAATAAATCAGCTCAAAGCCTAATATGAGAGGTCCACCAACATTCTTGTGCATTCCCTGACAGCCCAAGAACGTGTGTAACAGGGTTGAAATAGACATCCTTAGTTGTATGAGTTTTGTCATAATTAAGCAGCCAGGTTATGTATATATATTTGTGGAGCCACCTGCTGTATTATTTGTGCAACTGCATCTCTGTGCGTATGATCACGCAGGACCAACATTTACATTTTAGTCATTTAGCAGACGCTCTTATCCAGAGCGACTTACAGGAGCAATTAGGGTTAAGTGCCTTGCTCAATGGCACATCAACAGATTTTTCACCTAGTCGGCTCGGGGATTAGAACCAGCGACCTTTCGGTTACTGGCACAACGCTCTTAACCACTAAGCTACCTGCCGCCCATTTGTAGACTGTATTTGACTGCAAGAAGCCCCCAAACAGATATAATATTTCAAACCTTGCTTATATTTGTATACAATCACATGTCTATTATGTGTGGGGATACTTGGGAACAACGTCTTTTGACCAGAGCCCTGGTAGTACACTATATAGGGAATAGGGTGCCGTTTAGGTCACATATATAGGGAGTAAAGCAGCGGAGACAGTCAGGGAAGGAAAACCTGAACATTCCCAAGGTCAGAATTCACATTTTTGGGAAAGACCTGTTAGATCCAACTGATGGTGAAGTTCTGGCTGAGGTTCAGTCCTAGGTCTGTTACGGTCAACACCTGATTGGCTCTGTAGGTGAATGCAGCATCCTGGGAGTTGACCGTGACCCTGGTAGGCTCCGCCTTCACGCCATAGAAGGAGGCTGT